CGTGCCCTGACTTAGATCAGCCCAGAGATTGTTACAGAGTTTGATCTGTGAGTTAGCCGTGCCCTGACTTAGATCAGCCCAGAGGGAATTGATAGAGAATTGAGAGACTCGAACTTTGCTCCTGTTATTGAGTTTCTAGTATATCGAATTATAGAAGGGAATAGACAGCATATTGTTTGTTGATGATCATGATGGCGATGATGATGATGTTTTTCACTAAGTTGCCATTATATATGGTGCAGAAGCTTGTGTATGCTAACCTTTGTAAAATAATGCTCATTTTCTCGATGTTTTTTATTGACAGTGATTTTTATCGAAATAAAATCAGAGTGATTGAAGCTGGTGCATTCCTAGGCCTATATTCGCTGATGTTCATGTGAGTATTAAAGGACCGGCTTAAAGTTTGTTACACTCATAATTTTAGTCGCAAGATTTTGATTGTTTTGTTTTATAGAGATCTCTCCAAAAACGAAATCCAAGTAATCCAACCAGGGGCATTAACCGATCTTTACGCTTTAAGTTTCTTGTAAGTACGACAGTCAGTTAGATTCTTCAAATACATTAGCCTACAACCCCCCTGTCTCAGAATAAGCAGAAAATAAATTAATGAATAAATTAATTAACAAGCATTTTAATTTCTTCATTATTTGAAGAGATCTTGATTCAAACCAAATATCTAATATTACAAGAGAAATGCTCCAAGGCGCACCTTATTTAATGTCACTGTGAGTATCTCAGCTCTAAACTTATAACTGTGAGTATATCAGCTCTAAGGCCCCGTCCACACGTATCCGGAAAGTTTTGTATCTGCAAATTATTTTTTGCGGATACAAAAATGTTTGCGTCCACACGCAGCGTATTCGAATCGTTTTTGAATCGTTTTCACCGTCCACACGTATCCATTTTCGTAAAATTTGCGGATACGGACACAAACATTTCCGGACACGTGTGGACGCAACCCGTATCCGCAAAAAAAAATTTGCGGATACAAAAATGTGCAGATACGTGTGCACGGGGCCTAACCTTACAGCGACGAATATGCTAAATGTATTTCAATTCTTCGTGACCAGTTGCTAGAGAAAACGAAGATTTATAACCAGCGCAAAGAACAAACTTCCAAAATGCCATGCGGAATTATCTTGTCAGCAGCCATTTTTTTTGAAGTTCTAATGAGATAGAAATAGTCAAGCTTTTCATTTCTTAGATGCTAAACTAGATTGTGCTCTTTTCCCTAGAGTTTTGAAAAAGAACAGAATCAAGTCCATACCTGAAGGAGTATTCGACGCTTATAAATATCTAACGGACCTGTAAGTAGGTTTGGTCCTTGGGAAGCATTAGAGCGTAGCGGTGAGAGCGCTCGCCTCTCACCAATGCGACCCGGGATCGAGTCCCGACGAGCTCGGTGTTGTATGTGAGTTGAGTTGTTGGTTGGTTCTCTCCTGTGCTTCGAGGGTTTTCCGGGTTCTCCGGCTTTCCTCCCTCCGCAAAAATCAACTTCTAAATTCCAATTGGAATCCAGTGGAAGAAGAGCCACACTGTGCAATCCACTGTTAATCTCATGATTATTTATTAGTATTATTCATTGCTTAAGGTATTTTGGCCGAGCAAGGATTAGTAACTAGTTTAAAAGGTGCTTTCGATTTGATGTAGACGCGCTTATTGTGTAATGAAGGACGGACCCAGGGGGGCAACTGACCATGATATGTTAATTGTTATCTTCTGTTTTGAATCTTTTACATTACGATGACGTACATACCTTCAATCTACAGATTTCTCGAAGACAATAGATTGACTGAAATTGCTGGTGGAGCTTTCAAAGAAAACAACTTACTGCGAACATTGTAAAAGCGTTAAGTGATTATGCACCTATTTCAAAAAACGTTGTTGTTCCGAGACCTGAAATGGGCGATCTGAGACTAACCGACAACGTTTTTTGAAATAGGTGTTTATATGAATTAGTACTTGTTTTGTTGTTGTTGTTTGCCATTTTTTATTTCCTTTATTTAGGCGTCTTCTCAACAACGGTATAACTCACTTGAGAGAAGATGTATTCAGCGATCTTCATAGTCTAAATACCTTGTAAGTACTTAATGAAATCAGAAAAAGTATTTATAAACTCATCGAATAAGATTTTTGTGTTACTTTTTTTAGTCTTCTTACCTGACTGATCATGGCTGTATATAAAAAATTCTTCTTTCTAAATAGGATATTAGCCGAGAATAAAATTGAAGCGATTGCTCCTGGATTATTTAAGGGATTGTCTCGACTGATACGCTTGTAAGTATCGTCGACATTAATCGAGCAGTATCTATAGGCAATAGTTATAAATACTAGCTAACACAATATTAGATTGGAGGTTTTTGAATTTCCGTTAGTGTGCGGCCGCCACGTTTTTTTTTTTCGCTCATACTTCGAATAACAGCACTCTCCGACAAACCCTTCTATCCGATCRTTCTTAGCGCGCATCCTTGAAGAAATGCCAGAGCATGTTGACATGGTTTTGGGGTCGAGATTGGAAAAACAGAAATCGGGTACTGAACAATTAGTTTTGATCATGGTTATCGTTATTTCTTAATTTTTAGGCATTTAGACAATAATCTTCTTACACATTTAGAGGAAAGAACTTTTATACATGTAACACAAATCCAAACTTTGTAAGTAAACCCGCATCACATACAATTACATCCGTACGTTTTACCGCATATTAGAACTGAGCGTTTTAAAAGAAGTTTTATTAATAGATGTCTTTTTAATAGTACCGTAATTGATTTGTTTGTATTAGTATTATTTTATCTTTATTATATTATATATTGTAATCATCGACGTATGTTCTTTGAATTTCTATTTTATTCTAAGCTTGGGAATTTAATTACAACTTTTTTTGTCAAGTTAACAACTATTAGTGTTATAAGGTGCATTTTAAATTATACATAAAACCTCATTTCACATTTTATAGCTAGATACGGTTAAACAGCCTCGATCTGCGGTCTTATCAAAATCAGGACAAGGCTAACTAACTGATAGATTTGGAATTTAGCATAGATTTTGCTGAGGTAGAGAAATCCGGGGAAAACCCAAGGGAAGAGTCTCCAATCTCTACTTATATGTAAAACCGAGTTCAGGAATAGCCCAGTTTCGAATTCCAAATTACCGCTGTGTTCCTTGATTACAGACTCATTTGCACAGGGTTAGCCTCGCATCAGTGTTTAAATATTCACAAATACCAACGGAAAAGTAAAGAATGCCCAACTTCAACAATACAAACACATTGAAACTCGACGGACCTTGACTGGAACACGTGAATATTCTGCACAAACTCGAGGCTAACCCTGTGCAAATGAGTCTGTAACCAAGGAACACAGCGGTAATTTGGAATTCGAAAGGGGTCTATTAAGCCCAAGGTCTCAGAGGGTAAAGTTACACTCACTAGCGCTATTGCTGATTTTTAATCATTCCCAAGGGTGTGAAATAACGAAAGACATTCACTGCCAATTCTTTTGTTAAATTCAACCAAGATGGCGGGTATGACATCATGTGCAAAGTAAGAATACCACCCTTGATTCCCTATAACATACATACCATTTTGCTTGGTCAATGCCCACTCGAATCGCGCATGCGCATAACTCGAAACTGGCACACAGGTAATCCATTTATTTTTCACTACTTAATAACTGTAACGATGTTGTCAGAGAATAGGAATCCAGAATTTCTATTAAAGTATAATGACTCAATAATAATTGTTGTATTTATTTTTCAGGACACTCCACCAGAATCGCCTTGTGAACATACCAACAGCCATTTTTACCAACCTCACAAATCTCATATACTTGTAAGTAGTACTACTCGATAAAGCATTGTCTGATGTTAGATGTTCATAAAGAAAAACTTTGTTTAACAAAGCTTATAGCTTGTCACTTATTATTCATGATATTAATTGTTCCTAAGTTCTTATTGACAAGAAATAAATAAAACAAGAGTGGTGGATTACTGAAGAAATAGAAAACGCACACGCGCGCTGTGTGTAGTTATAAAGCACGCGGGGGTTGGTAGAACACGAGAAAAGTGTTAGGAGAAGCACAACGCGTAGCGGAGTGTTTCTGGAAACTTCTCGAGTGTTCTGCCAATCCCCAAGTGCTTTATAACGGCACACAGCACAACAAGTAAGTTGTTTATTTCTTKTTTAAACTCATCACACGTAGATGAGCTTGGCGTTGGTGCTTGGGTGGGAGGAGCCTCGGGAACTCGGCGGAGGTCAGCGGTAACTATGGCAACCCTGTCACCTCCCACCTAGCACCGTCACACTGACTTGGCAGTGGAATACTTACCTATACTTACCTTAGTGGAGGGTGGGTGGRAAAACAAATAGCGTTGGTGTAGCGTACAAACTGCGTAAGCTAGCGTTAGCGATATGAGATAGCGCATAGCGTTAGCGAAATCGGATAGCACGTGGCGTTAGCGAAATTGGATAGCACCCGATGCAAGCTTCGTCCCCAGATACCAWCTGTTCATCATTCATCTCATTGCGTGAGACATTAATTTGCTTATCAGATGGYCGCGAAGCTATAGCCTTTTGATGACAGATACTTGCGATAACAGGCAACTTAGTTCAAGTCTAACTTTGCTTAAATATTTTATTTAACCACATATAAAATACAAACTACAATAACCGTTATTTTAGACAGAAATGACGCAACGGAAAGTGCGCGCGTGTGCAATGTGCTCTCATAAAGCACGCGCTCCAAACCAATCAGAACGCGACATTCAATAACAGTTATTTTATAATGAATATTACTTCATCGATTGTCCGGCATGGGCTTCAGTAAGGCGACATACATTTAGTCCCGATACGGGTTCGAAAACATAGAACATAAAAACTGAGAAATACATGCTTCCTGTCAGTACAAGGACGGATGAGCATTCCATGTGTTGTATCACTAGATACAATCATTTGAGATACACAGTCGATATGATCCATGTGTATAAAGCCTACATGCTTCCTGTCAGGGCAACAACAGTGATACATCTAATAAACTATTTCTATGTTTTGAAGATGTATAATATATATGACTTTATTCACCAGGTCATTCCATGGAAACCAGTTAACAGATATTCCAAACATAAAAAACAAACCATTTATACAACAAGTGTAAGCGATTAAAGTTTAAAAAATCCTTAGACCCTTGGGGTTACACTAAATTGTTTTAAACAATGATTGCATTTCGATAAGTTTCTATAAATTTATTGTATTGACCCAAATGCCTCGACTTGAAACGATTCTTTGAATCATTCCCCCCCACCCACAAAGATAAATATTTAACACGTACGTTTCATTTGTCATAGGTTTCTTAACAATAACAGGATTAAATCTGTACCTAATATGCAGTTCAGAACAAACACAGAACTGGTCAACATGTGAGTTTGGTTTTACCCTTCCACCTTCTCTCTCTCTAAACCACCGCTAACTTGGCCATACCATTATCTATGAATTCCCTGCAATAGACCTCAGGCACATGAATATGGATACAACTGAAACAGCAAAATAATTGAAGTTAATAACATTGATATCTAATGATATCTATTTATATAGCGCTCTTTCCCATATGCATATGTTTAAAGGCGCTTTACAATGAGTTGTGAACGAGAGGTGGTTAGTATGAGATGTAGGCACTAAAGGTGGTCACTGCCAGGGTTTCTTTACATCCCCAGTGGTTCTTTTACATCCCTCCGATGTTGGTTAGTAGTGATAAGTGTGGTGAGACGGGACCACCATTTAAAGTGGTCATCCGAACCGTTTGCAGATGTAGTTACAAAGGCAACAGTTATTTTAAGACCCTGCAGGGTGAGGGTTGGTCCGGTCGAGGTTTGAACCAACTCGTTTATTACTTGCATTCCTCTTACCGTTGGTATTTGTGAATATTTTGTCTAAAATGAGGCTAACACCAAATAAATGAGTCTGTAATCAGGTAAAACAGTGGTATTGCACGTATTCCAAAATGGACAATAAATAGGACAGGAGAGCGTTAAGATCGACRAAACTGGCTATTCTCTTCTAGATTTTTAGATACCAATATGGTGGAACGTTTATACAACAATTCATTCCATGGAGCATTAAACCTAAAAACCATGTAAGCAATCCCTGAAATTAAATATAGAATGACGTGTGATGACGTGTGACGATAATGGTGATATGCCAATCAGAATCTGTTAAATGAACTAACCTAGTTGATATCCTCTGGATCCTGCTGGATGGCGCTAAAAATAGATCCGGCTGTAGTCTTAGGCCCCGTCCACACGTATCCGTAAATTTGTGTATCCGTAATTTTTTTTTTTTTTTTTTTTTTTGCGGATACGGGTTGCGT